GTAAAGATATTGTCATTTAAGGTTGCAGAATGAGTTCTAATTCTTGTTGGTTTAAATATCAAGGGAAATGAGCCAAATGAAAACAACAGGTTGATACAAGAACACAAATGTGTACAAAATGTCTCCACCTATGGGTGATCCCGTCAAATGGTTATCCTAAAAATGAGTATACAAGACTTTACTGACACAATTTGAGGACGGAAAATCCAAAATGGCCACCTTAAAATTTACCCAGAATGCCAAAAAATTAGTCAGTTCTAGATTTTCATACTAAGAAACAACCCTGAAAATTTGAAATTGATCTGTCACAAAGTTAACCAGAAAACATGTAAACAAGACTTTACAGACAAGATTTTAGGACAGAAAATCCAAAATGGCTGCCTTGACATTTATTCAAAATGCCAAAAAACTAATCTGTTCTAGATTTTCATACTAAGAATCATCCCTGAAAATTTGAAATTGATCTACCAATCAGTTCACCTGGAAATGCGTAGACAAGACTTTACAAACAAGATTTTAGGACAGAAAATCCAAAATGGCTGCCTTGACATTTACCCAGAATGCCGAAAAACTAATCAGATCTAGATTTTCATACTAAGAATCATCCCTGCATAAAAACTAATCAGATCGCTATTTTCATACTAAGAATCATCCCTGAAAATTTGAAATTGATCTACCAAACAGTTCACCTGGAAATGTGTAGACAAGACTTTACAGACGGGATTTTAGGACAGAAAATCCAAAATGGCTGCCTTGACATTTACTCAGAATGCCCAAAAACTAATCAGATCTAGATTTTCATACTAAGAATCATCCCTGAAAATTTGAAATTGATCTACCAAACGGTTCACCTAAAAACGCGTAGACAAGACTTAACGGGCAAGATTTTAAGACGGAAAATCCAAAATGGCTGCCTTGACATTTATCCAGAATGCCCAAAAACTAATCAGATCTAGATTTTCATACTGAGAATCATCCCTGAAAATTTGAAATTGATCTACCAAACAGTTCACCTGGAAATGTGTAGACCAGACTTTACAGATAAGATTTTAGGACAGAAAATCCAAAATGGCTGCCTTGACATTTACCCAGAATGCCCAAAAACTAATCAGATCTAGATTTTCATACTAAGAATCATCCCTGAAAATTTGAAATTGATCTACCAAACAGTTCACCTAAAACGCGTAGACAAGACTTAACGGGCAAGATTTTAAGACGGAAAATCCAAAATGGCTGCCTTGACATTTATCCAGAATGCCAAAAAACTAATCAGATCTAGATTTTCATACTAAGAATCATACCTGAAAATTTGAAATTGATCTATCAAACGGTTCACCTGGAAATGCGTAGACAAGACTTTACAAACAAGATTTTAGGACAGGAAATCCAAATGGCTGCCTTGACATTTACCCAGAATGCCCAAAAACTAATCAGATCTAGATTTTCATACTAAGAATCATCCCTGAAAATTTGAAATTGATCTACCAAACAGTTCACCTGAAAACTTGTAGACAAGACTTTACAGACAAGATTTTAGGACGGAAAATCCAAAATGGCTGCCTTGACATTTACCCAGATTGCCCAAAAACTAATCAGATCTAGATTTTCATACTAAGAATCATCTCTGAAAATTTGAAATTGATCTACCAAACGGTTCACCTGAAAACGTGTAGACAAGACTTTACAGACAAGATTTTAGGACGAAAAAATCCAAAATGGCCGACAATAAAAAGTGATTATAAGTTTTTGCTAATTTCTTTTTACAAAACTAGATAACGGCAACTCCGCGGAGTAGCAAATCCCAACGAACAAAATATCAATTACCGAATTACTGAATTCCTGCAAAACAGCCATTTTGAATTTTCTGAGGTACAAATCTAAAAATTAAACCATAATTGTGATCTACTCCAAAATTCCTTCAATTTGAGTATAATATAGCCATACTTTGAAGAGATCGAAAAATTATTGCGAAATCGTACATTAGACGGCCATTTTGAATTTTACTAGGCTCGAATCAGAAAAAAGATACAATATTTGCAATCTACTCTTAATTGCCTTTCATTTGAGTGTAATAAAGCTATACTTCAGAAAGATCTAAAAATTAGCGAAAATCCCTGTTTTCCTGACCCCCCATACACGGCCCCTGGGGGTCAGGATGAAAAACACAGAATTTATGTGAAATAGATAGATATTGTGAATATACTACCAACATTTCAAACAATAATATTAATTACTTTGGTTTAGAATGAAAAATTTATGATTTTTTGCGAAAAAGTCTCGTCATTTTTAAAGTGGCGGCCATCTTGAAAAAAAATTTTTCAGCGTAAAACTATTTATCAATATACATCTTTCCACCAAATATGAAGAAAATCGGTCAACTTATATTTGAGTTATCTTCCGGACAGACGGACGGACTGACTGACTGACTGATGGACTGACTGACTGACTGACGGACGGACGGACGGAGGGCTTCACTATATCCCTACAGAACTTCGTTCGTTGGGATAATTATCACATATAACTACCGTTAACAATAACATAGGCTTTTACAACAAATAACACCTGAAATTATTTATAAAGCTACTAAATAGTATGAAAACTGAAAAACACCATTCAATATGATACAAACTATAATCGTGCGCTAACTTTTCTTAAAACATTCAAAATGGCTGACATGACTGAGCTAACAGTACCAAAACCTAATCAGATCTAGAATGAAGTGCGCTGAACAAGATTTTAAAGTTTTAAAAGCAACTGTGAAGCAGTTTTTCTTAAAGCTTGCAGACAAGGATTTTAGCATTTGACTTCAAAATGGCCGACAAGAAGTAGGTATCGAGATAATTTTTTTTTCATCCACATCTGTATGCACTCATAAGTTATCCCTGAAAATTTGAAGGTGATATCTGTAGCGGTTTAGGAGAAAACTGCCGGACGGACGGACGAACGGACAGACAGACAGACGGACAGACAGACGGACGCGCCTAGGCCGACAATATGGCCCCACACTATGTGGTGGGGACATAAAAACCATTTGATGGATTATGGTATTTAGCCTTAAGCTAATATTAGTATCACCCATTAAATAAATTGCTTTGTCCTCTGAACTTAAGGAGCCGAGAAAATCTTCAAATTTACCATTAAAAATGTTGATATTAATATCAGGTGGTTTGTAAATACATGACATAATAATGTTTTGTAGTGTTGATTATTTCACTTGTTGTAGAATTGCAATCATTATGATTTAATTTTAAGTCTGATCTAATTTTACAATTTTTCGAACAAACAAAGCGTATCCACCACCATTAGTATCTATGATCTAAGTAGGATTCATACTTATAATGATTAGATAATGATTCAACATTATTATTCAGCCAAGTTTCAGAGATACCAATAACTAAATATCTTTCTCAAATTGTGCCATCAGACCATGTAAGGCTGATTTATTTGCATTCAGACTCCTAGCATTAACATGCATAGCGGTCAATTCATCATTTGATGATTTTTTAAGATCATTATTATTTATACCAATTAAATATTCATGATATTTACATAAGTTCACATTAGTTTCAATTGAGAGTCTAATTGATTAACATCCTCATTGTCATTTGCAATGTTATGAAGATCTTTGGCATTGAAACGAAATTGTCACATTGGTCATATACAGAAATATCATCTATCATAGCATTGGCAAAAGGCATCATGCTCCAAAGACCTGGCATATCAGCAGTCAAATTATCCAGGATCAAAGATATAATTGACCATGCTGGGGGGTAGGGAGTTGGGAGATGGAATGCTGAACAGAAGATACTGAATCACACATCCTGCTAAGTTTACTTGAATGAAGAAACATAGTCATATTAAGCTCCTGATAATGTGATATATTGTTGTATCATATCAGTTAATACTATCAATGTACGTAGGAATCCAATCAGATTATAGCTGATGGCTTTTGAGTTAGTTCAGTTCAGCTGCATAAAATATTTGTAAAAAAGTGTAAACAAGTGATTCGAATACTTTCCATTGATCTAGACTTAAGGACAGGGTGCATGTTGGGAAATTTTCTGCATTCCTCAATTGAGTCACATGTTATTTTTCAAACATGAATAACTCCTTCCCCACATTGTCTACATCTTCCAAGTTTGCACAAAGAGTGCACCTTTGTGCCTAGAAAAGCCTTGTGAGAAGGTTTGTTTTGTAAAATGTATAAAAAATGAGAAAATTCAGTGAAAAAAAATTCTGAAAATTTTCTGATTTTTTTCACTGAATTTTCTTGTTTTTTATACACTTTATCAAAACATTCTTCTCACAAGTCTTTTCTAGGCACATCAGTGCACTCTTTGTGCAAAACTGGAAGATAAAGACAATGAAGAGAAGGAGTGATTCTTGTTTGAAAAATAACATGTGACTCAATTGAGGAATGCAGAAAATTTCCCATCATGCACCCTGACCTTAACACCTTTGAACTTTGATTAAAAGCAGTCTTGCTTAAAGATTAGCAAAAGAACAGCTGAAAATTGGAAATGGTCACAGAACATATAATTCACAATAAAATTCTGTTTGAGTTATTCACTTACATGGTGGTCATATACATTTTTTCATCTTAGAGTAGACTTTTTGATTGAGAATTAGTTGGTGTATAATCAGAGAGAACAATCAATTAGAACATTTCATTTTTTGTCATCAATAACTTTTTTTGTCTGAGCTATACAGCTGTATGTTCATATATAATACAAACTATGATTGTATATAGCCTATACATGTATTAATAACATCATAATGAAAACTTTACCTAAATTGGTTAAGAAATAATAACAAGGCATTATCATGTAAAATGTCACCAACTGCTATTTGTTACAGACACTGAAAGCCAAAACTGAACATCATTCGCAAAAAAGTGTCAAACAAAATGTCACTATTTGTGTTGGTGAAATAGATATGGTACACTTTCTAGATCTTAGTGATCATTCATTGTATTAGGAAAATAATGAAAAGAAAATAACCTGCAGTCTCAGCACAATGGGCCAAGGTCAGTACAAAAGACATCTTGTTGTCTGGAGCAGCAATGCCTAACAGCCTCAGTAGCACAGGAATACCACCAAGATTCCTCAGCTTGTGACCATTCTCAGCTGAAATAACATTCATATAAATCATTTATCCCATACTTGGCCATGTTTGAGGTACATAAGCAGCCCGGGGGGTTCACTGTGTAAAAAATTTGGCCAATCTGTCAAATTCCAATGTGTTCCCATACCACCAAAATAACATCCAAAAGCCATACACAGGCAAATTACATCGGACCCTGTTCAAGCTCGTACGGAACTCATTGAGTAAATGGACCCTGTACAACCTCGTTACAAGTCTCGTAATTGCTTGTAATTTTCGAGCCTCATAAGAGCTTGTTATTACAAGGCCCGTAATAGCTCCTAGTTTTTGACCCCGTACTTGACTGTACGGTGCCCGTTACGAGCCCGTAATAAATTGTTATGAGGATCATTTGTTTTGATGAACACTTTTTGATCGATGAAATAAAATACAGCATACTGACATAATGACATTTCAATGATATCTAATTATAAATTAATATGTCTTCAATAATTTCAAAATATTCGCATGTCTGTATCGACATGATAAATAGTATGAAAGCTAGGAAACAAAGAAAACAGGGTTACCAATGGGAGACACCATATTTCTCTACAAGGGAAGTAAATCTACAGGGTGTCCAATAAATAAGGTGAAAGATATTGTTACTTTCCTAATATTGCACCGACCTTGATGAAATTTTCAGAGTTTGTAGCCCAAACCTTTTTACCTTTATTCTGTGAATTTAAAGCGTCTTCTATTTGATTGGCCAGAGTTGTGGTTGCTATAGCAACCGAAACAACAAAAAGGCGGGGCAAGTTTGTTTACATCACAACTTTTCAAAACATATTTATTTTTTCTGATAGCTTTATTCATACTCCCAGGTCTATTACTACAACAAATACAATATAAAAACAGCCCTAAAGTCCCATTGTTATGAAAATAAGCTATTCAACATAATGTCCATCTCTAGCTATACACTTCTTATGCCTATTCACCCACTCTCTAAACACATTTTCAAACCCATTCTTGCCCATTTCCTGAAGTCTTGCTAAGACATTTGATCTGAGTTCACACACAGCTATGCTCACTAGTGAAACTATTAGGGCACTGGGGCTACCCCTACTTGCACACCCTCCATATTCCCCAGACCTTGCACCCAATGACTTTTACTTATATGCAGAACTCAAATGTGAAATAAATTTGGAAGCACTGATGAACTCAGATCACATGTCTTAGCAAGACTTCAGGAAATGGGCGAGAATGGGTTTGAAAGTGTGTTTAGAGAGTGGATGAAAAGGCATAAGACATATAAGAAGTGTATAGCTAGATATGGACATTATGTTGTGCTATACATTATGTTATGCTTATTTTCATAACAATGGGACTTTAGGACTGTTTTTATATTGTATTTGTTGTATTTGTAGTAGTAATAGACCTGGAAGTATGAATAAAGTTATCAGAAAGAATAAATGTTTTGGAAAGTTGTGACGTAAACAAACTTGCCCCGCCTTTTTGTTGTTTCGGTTGCTATAGCTACCACAACTCTGGCCAATCAAATAGAAGACGCTTTAAATTCACAGAATAAGGGTAAAAAGGTTTGGGCTACAAACTCTGAAAATTTCATCAAGATTGATGCAATATTAAGAAAGTTACAATATCTTTCACCTTATTTATTGGACACCCTGTATATAAAAACATTTGCATGCGATATTGGGATAAGTTAAAATGTGACGTTAATAAATGTTATTGTTATAGAATGTGTTAATAGAAACATCAACCTAAAATGATAAAACATGCATGCATGTTCTGAATAGATACATGAATCATGTAGCATGACAACAATTAATTTTTTTGTTCAATAAAGGAGTCCGATAATGGTCCTCATACGAACTCTTGCAGGCCTCGGAATTATGAGGCTCGTTTATACTCGTACAGGCCTCGAAAACAACAATTACGAGCATCGTACGAACTCGCACGGGCCTCGAAAATGAGCTTAGTACGAGCCTGTGAAAGGATGGTGCTCCTTTTTGCCCATAATGACTCGTAATTCTCGAGGCTCGTACAAGCTTGTACGGGGCCCGATGTAATTTGCCTGGGTACCACATGTCCAAATATAAGAACAATGCCATGCCAAATGTCCAAGCATAAAACCAATGCCATACCAAATGTCTAATATATGTCCAATGCCATACCAAGTGTCCAAAGTAGAATAATTCTGGGGAAATAAGTTATTCAAACTGAAGAAGGCCCCGAAAAGGACAGATCTTTGAGTAAAACAATCACAAAATTAGGATATGTATAACTATCAGACCAATGCCATACCAAAAGTGTGAGTTTACATATTTTCCACGACCATTCTCATACCAGAAAGTGGAAAAATCCGACTATTGCCATACCTCTAAATTCATAATTTGGGGCCATTCTCATACCATATCCTAAAATTTGGGTCTACCAAATATCAAAAAGGTACCCCACATGCGCCAAGGATCCCCGTTAAGGTTTACATACAGTGAAACCCCCGGGATAAGCGGGTTTGTACTTTAATCAGCAAGATATATCAAAATCACTCTACTACTTTTTGAGTTATAGTAAAAAAATGTAAAACAACACAAGTAAAAATGGCCACCTACTACCCAAAATGTCATTAGACATTGGGCCATGCTTAAAGTATTCCAAATATGAACAAAATCGCTTCACTACTTTTTGACTTACAGCAAAAAATGTTAAATAACACACATAAAAATGGCGGCCATTTTTTAAAATGGCTGCCTACTACCAAAAATGTAATTAGACATTGTGCCATGATCAAATTATTCACATACCAAATATGAACAAAATCGCTCCAATACTTTTCAAGTTACAGCAAAAATCGTAGAATGACGTGCAAAGGCAGCCATTTTTCAAGATGGCTGCCATGAATTTCTTCTGTATTTACATTTCTAGCTTAATCAATGTCCTACATAACTTTTTTACATTGAAAACATATTGCTATTACAGTTTTATATGCAGTACCTAAATTACTGTAAAATCGGCACTAAAATGGCCGCCATTTGTAAATGAGAGGCCATTTTGAAAATCGGTTTTCGGGCAGAACTCCTATTCCCATTGGGTATATGTGTACAAAATATGAACAAAATCGAGCCAACAGTATTTGAGTTATTGCCCGGACGGACAGACGTACGTACGGATGGACGGACGGACGGAGGCGTTCCCTATATCCCTCCGAACTTCATTCGATGGGATAATTAAGCGGCCATATTGAATATTCCTTCTCAGGTACATGTACCTCCCATAAGGTATAATTCTACAAATCTGAATCAAATACATCAACCGGTATTTGAGTTATTTCCCAGACACAGGAATGGACAAACAGACAAACAAATGGATGGACCATGAAGACAGGTGCGTTTCATATCCATCAATTATCTCCAAGAAAAGTACAAACAATGATAACTAAGTTAATAGGACACTGTGATAATGAAGGGGATATCAATCCATGACCATACTTTCTCCATGACTTTTGACTTTTACAATATTTAATGCATTATTATACATTATATACATATTTTAATTCATCAAGTACTTCTTATGGGAAAATTGAATTGATCTTAGATTAATTGCATCGCTCGCAAAGCTACTCAATATAGAGTGACCCAAAAAAACAGAACCCTCCAAAAATGAAATAATTGCTTACAGTAATACAAATGTAATCAGCTTCATTTTTCATCTACAGAAACTACAATCTATGGATGACAATCTGAGACCAAATTTGTTGCATAACATTCAATATTTTTCTTGTTCACGGAGGATAAGCAAAACGAGGGCGAAGCCACGGACTGCAACTCGCGTAACTTTACACCGCAGCCCAGCGCCAAAATGGAGGGACATCCGGCAGTGCCTTCTGCTTCTTCCGATAAAATAGAGAAATCCAGGTATTTTAAATGCTATCGTAGTGTCTAATCGGTGACCAAAATATTACTCTGTATCTACTGTTGGTCTGTAGATAAGAAAATAAGCAGTTGTCTAGATCAAGCTAAAACAGTAGCAAAGTTCTGATTTTACCTGTAAAATATGTGCATATTATTTAATTTACTATACATTTGAAAGGAGTTTTAACACGTTTCTGATATCTAAAGGTTAGTTGAGGCTCTGAGTATAATTCGTGAAAATGATTTGATAATAGAATGTGTTCATGAGTAGAAAATTAGATTCAAACTGCGCATTCATAGTGGACGCAGTCCAGTAAACAAAGCTATTTCAACAACGCAACACAGCCTCCATTGATATTCTAAGCAACGCAGTCCAGCCGCGAACACGAAATAAATAAGAGAGTGTAAACTATATTCCTACGCTATTATTGTTTCGGGAAAAGAAAGTCAGCATCCAGATTATCACTATACGTATCAAAGAGAAGGAATGTACATGTTATGTTAAAATAAATACAGTATGTTTGTAACCAATCAAAAAAGATCATGTTTTTTCAATTTTTCACAAAACGTAGTTTATGCCTTTTAACAATCAAAAACGTCTGTTATGGAGCTTTGTTCTTATTGACTCAAGACGAAACTTCGATTATTAATAATTAAAAAATGATTGACATATCCTCATATTCACTCGTGGTATTGTACGTTCGCCCGTGCATGTATCATAATTCATTCCATAGAAGGGTGCCAAATAAGTCCCGCACCCCCCCCCCTACACCAAAAATCACCAAGTGTGACATATCATTGGAAAGATCATTCAAAGTTACGTTGATTAACATATATCTATTACCTGAATCAATGTCCCAAATTGCTATATTGTATCGTTTAAGACCTAGAAATATGGCAATTCAATAGCGTATTTGGCAGAACAGTCGAGCGCAAGATGACAACGTAATATGTTTATTACAAACCAATTTGTGGATAGGGTTAAATATATAGATAATTGGATAGTGGTGAGACTTTTTATAAGAAGTAGAAATGCGAAACAATTAACTTTTTGATGATGCAATAAAAGCTGTTGGGGAAGGGTACATTAACTAGTATTTAAGATATCAGGAAAATATCAAATAATTGGAGAGTTGGTGAGTTAATGTAATTTTGGATGATCTTTCCAACAGTCCATCAATATTGCTAGCTACCATAAATTCATGATTTCAGCTGTATTTGACAGCTTGTATATATTTGCAGAATGGATTGAGACACGATGTAGGTCTATTAAAATAGCCCTTTATATTCAATTTTGTCCAAAGTTGCTCCATTTCGGCCACACCTGTACACACATTGTGCTATCTACCTTTGGCTGTGATTGCGTTCAGCTTCAGATATAAAGCAACACTGAGTCGCGGACTGCGTTGGGCAGATGGATGGACTGCGACTATTATAAATTCCAATTTTCTATGTAATTGTACGTTTTCCGCTTACCAAATATCACACGAAGATGTAATTGTAACAACAGAACATGAATAATTATATTAATTCGATGTCATTTCTGATTCCTTTGTTTAAATCGGTATATTAGGGACAAATATTGACAAAATAACATTTTTTGTGGCAGATTTCGAATTCATTTGTGTTCATGCTAAACTATTGGACAGCCGAGCACCAAGAATGCCATTGCAGGTGGAGTATGAATATGTTGATCACCGACTGGAACATACTAGCTATTGTGTAGAATATCCAAACCAATAATCTACCCCAAATCCTAACATGCCTTCCAAATTAAGTTTGGACTTACCGCCATTGTTCAGCTATAATGCGTTGAAACCTCGTTTTGAATTACGCGAGTCGCAGTCCGTGGCTTCGCCCTCGTTTTGCTTATCCTCCGTGTTGTTATGGCCATTTAAAAAAAAAATGTGCCCACTTTTGAAAGAAACATGAAGATTTTCTTGCCAACCTAAAGGTTACATATCATTTGTTTAAACCCATCACATTCTTGTTAAGCTGCATTCTATGAGTAAAGAGGGTGAGATCATCAGTGAGGAAGCCTTCTGGCAACCTTTAAGTCATCTTTAGGTGTAGTTGCACCTTGTGAGCGATATTTTGGAACTGCATTCAATGCAATCACACGCAGTGCTTTCGTGTGTTCTCATACATGTCATACCCCCATTCTTAGAAACCTCCCTAGAGAGGTGTAAGCTGATCATGTTTTCCATTCAGATGTTTAACAGTTCTCTTCCTCTTTCAACTCATCATTTAACATAATGTAATTCAATAGTTTTGACTGATCATTATGCTGTCTTATGATTTCTTGAGAATTCATCCAGTGGTATTTCGTGCAGCGTTTGAGGTGTTCTTGCTCAAAGGCCAGGAATTTAAGTCATCTGATCTTTTACCAGGTGCCTAACCATTGCCTATTCTTTATTTTTCAATTGAAATATTAAATGAGACTTTCATTTCATGTCTTCTTTGGAATTCCTTCTGAATTTCTCATAGAATCTCAAGACATGATTTTCTCTCAATGCTGATTTTCCGAAAATTGGACACATTCTAAGATCATCCATGATATCACAAATAATGAAATTTGTGTAACAAACTTGATACCATATTATCATCCATAGATTTTAGTTTATGCACATAAAAATTGGGTTGATAGGACAGATATTTAAGAAATTATTACACTTTTAGAGGGTTCTGTTTTTTTGGATCACCTTGTATATACATTTACAATGCTTAGCTAAGTAAATGTTACCATTGTCTGATATGGCAGCATCTATGGTGTTGGTGATATGTACTGCTAGGTACTGTGCCCGGAGATCACTGGTCACTCTATTTTCCAATCTGTGTAGCACATTCATTAGACAATCAAATCCTCCACATTTATTCATTCTATCCTGGTTATATACTGAAAAAATAAGCGATAAGTGATAAATACAAATTTAAAACCATTTAGCTAATTTTTCAGTCCTATTGGTATTGAGCAACATGCTCACTCAAAAACTGATAGAAGATAATAAAGTAATTTAAAATTCAATTGAGAGATTTAAATAATTACAATATAAATATTTACTTACTGTTATTCGAGACAGCAAGGCCTATCAGTGAAGCAATTGGGCGAAGAAACTTTCCTTCAAGTGTGCTCTCAAGGTATTGAAAGGCATGAGGGAAAATAGTGCTACAATATCTCTGATTTTCATCTAAAAAACATGTTTTTCTTTTACGAAAATGTTTGTATTGCAGGTTATATTGCAGGTTAAAATGCAGTATTTTTATAGTTTTAAATAGAAACAGACACACCCTTGGTATACGCAGCTAACGAAAATTGACCGGTACGGGTCAAAAGCTGGACAGGTACGGGTTAACGGTTTTATTTGAATTTAAATAGCCATAACTTGCTCAATATTGACTTCCTCATGTCTAATTTGAAATATATGATGCCTCCCGATGCTTTTAAGTACCCCAATTTTTTACAGATTTTTAAACGGACCAAAACTCTCTAAATGCGCATTTATGCTCTTTTCTCTCGAGAACGACTGTCTCATTTTCACGATAACTTTTATTTAGTACTTCTAACATATAAGATCTATTTTTCCCCAGCTATTGCCCCGAACCGGTCCGTCTTCTCGCTGCAAGCAGAGTGCCCCGAACCAGTCCGTCTTCTCGCTGCAAGCAGGATGAAATTCTTTGTCACAAAGTTTGGCATTTTTTATAAAATCAAACGCGCGTCATTGAAACTCACAAGATGTAAATAGCATGTCATTTACATCATACCTTGATGGGGAAAAATAGATCTTATATGTTAGAAGTACTAAATAAAAGTTATCGTGAAAATGAGACAGTCGTTCTCGAGAGAAAAGAGCATAAATGCGCATTTAGAGAGTTTTGGTCCGTTTAAAAATCTGTAAAAAATTGGGGTACTAAAAGCATCGGGAGGCATCATATATTTCAAATTAGACACGAGGAAGTCAATATTGAGCAAGTTATGGCTGTTTAAAATTCAAATAACACCGTTAACCCGTACCAGTCCAGCTTTTGACCCGTACCGGTCAATTTTCGTTAGCTGCGTATACCAAGGGTGAGACACATATTGCTGTTTTGGTGTTAATGCAATTTTACTCCAGATTTCATAACACAAGTTATGATAATTTTGCTACCAAAAATGATGGCTCCAAGATCTTGATGATGAATCTAGTTTTCTCAAGTATTGGGAACATATTTTATCAAACTCATTGAGAAGTTGATTAAAAAGATAATTAGAGAATCGCTACATTTAAACAAAACAGAATGTGACATTTTTGACAAAGAAGTACAAATACCCTCTGGAGTCAAAGTCTATATAGCCATCAAATTGTTTTTGTTTTACTAAAAAGATTTTAGAAATACTAGAATATGAAATACAAAGAGGTAGTAGATAATTACTATGATCACATTTCAAGGAAAAAACATGGAAGGAGCTCAAAAGTATATGTACGAGGGTTGTCCCAGAAGTAATGCACTATATGCTCTAACTTTATCAATGATCGATATTTTTCCATGAAATTTTCAGGAGGGGGAGGGGGATGTTAGACATTGTTTCTTTTTATGTTAGATTATGGTTTTGGAATATATAGGGTCTACTTTCTTATGACAGATTTACACTTACAGTTTGCTTTTCTTGTTGGGTTTTCTTTAAAGTTTTTAGTCACCCTTCCCTTTGGCATTTGTGCTTATATATTCCTTGGAGACATTTTGATTATTCTACAAATTTTCATGTTGACTGATAAAACTATATTGATGTTATAATAAAATCAAGTTGGTGAGTTTGGGTAGGGTGGGGCAGGTATACAGTCACGTCAAAAGGAATAAAAATTGAAAATATGAATAATTAATCAACAAATACCATTTTGTGTAGCTATAAGAAGTATGCCCAAAATACATTTTAAGATACTAAATTACAATGAGCACATCCTAGCTTTAATGGATGTATATTGCACAGTGTCCCATTTCACATTTTCTCAAATATTGCCCTTTGCATGTTATGTACTTTTGATGCCTGTCAGGTCAAACACTCTTGGCAGTTTCTTCCACTGTGACTTGTGGAGTTTTTGCCTCCCATGTTTGGAGTTGTCATCCAGGGTCAAGTCATCTCTTTTAAATCTCTTCTGCCAACTCGTAATTGTAGTTCTATCTGGTATATACTCCTTATATACTTTCTTTGTGGTAGCATAAGTTTTGCGTGGCTGTTAGTCCAAGTGAAGTATGGAATTAAGCCACCAAACGCAAGGCCTTCTGTTATCAGGTGAGAATTGCAGCCATTTTTGCAATTTTTGACTGTGATTGTATTTGAATTTGTGACTATTGATCTGTGGTATTATGACAACACAGTGCAAAATGTCATTATTTGTACTTGTTTAACACCATGCTGAATAAATTTAACAATTTCCCAAACATTTTGATCATTTAAAAGAAAGAAACATTAATAAAATAACACTTTGGATCTATTCATAATTAGAAAAATTGGTACCTACCCCGCCCACCCCTACCCCCATGTTGCTATAGCAACCATATTAAGAGTTAATATTAATGTTTGATGCTAAACTTCAGGATATAATAGACAAAACTTCAATTGTTATATACACAAAGTTTCAGCTGAATTGAAGAATATTGAAGCAAGTTAGAGCATATAGTGCATTACTTCTGGGACAACCCTCGTATATCTAATATTATCTATTGAAAACTTGGTGAACCAAACCCAATGTTTAAATGATGTACTTTTGTATGAATCAGAGCAATAATAAGTTGATAGTTAATGATTCAATAATAACAAAATACATGTTATGCAATATATCACAAAGAATTTTTCGTCAAAATTGCCAATTCTCATATAAAGGCTATAGTCAGGTGT